AAAAAGGAGAAAAAGGAAAATAAAAGGGAAAGTTCATGCAGAATAGAATTAGCAAATTGCCATTTTGCAACATACAATGTAGTGAATGATCCAGGCAAGGATTATTAACAAATACTAAATTATTATGTGAAAGGAAGCGGGAAATCAGATTTTTGTAGAGTGTCAAAGCAGTACCACTCAGTTTATTTAATAAATGAAAAGAGGAAACGCACCTTTGCAATGGAGTCTCTACCTTAACCAAATGACCAAACTGAGCACCACTAATAGTGGGACAACCTGACATTATGTGCCCTCTGATGTGATGTTACCAAAAGTACACAGCATCACTATGAGGTATTCTTCTTGAAAAACTTCAACCTGAATCTAACATAACCTTTGGCTAACCTCTAGTTCACAAGAAATACATGAAATTAAGGAAAAACTAAACAATATATATCAGACAAATCTAGAATGAAGACCATTCCATACAACAACTTCCTTGAACTCTTCATAAAGGCAGTATTATTTTTAAGTGAGGAAAGTATTCTAGACTTAAAGGACAAAAATCACCAAATGCCATGTGTGAACTTGCTCTTTGGTTAGGGGAAAAAGGCGGCTATAAAAGATATTCCTGAGACAACTAGGGCACTGAGAATGTGGACCAGGTACTAGATTCTATGGCGGAAGTATTTGTTAATTTTCTTAGGGATGATAACGGTATTGAAGTTACATAGAAAAATGTCATTATTCTTAGGAGATATGTGATATATAAGAAGGGAGTGTCATGATAGCTTACAACTTATTTTAAAATGATATATCAAAAAATGACAGACAGATACAAAGAGAAAAACAAATATGACAAAATGCCAGGAAAATTAGAAAAAGAGTAATGAAGAGGGAATAACCCTGCTAAATATTAAAGCATATATTATAAAGATATAAAAACTCAAACATCTTAGTACTAGCATATTCATGAACAGATAGGCTAATTAATAGAACAGAATACTATGTCCCCAAATCTACTACAATGCTTTTCAAATCCATGGGGAAAAAAAGATGATTTATTCAATAAAGGATGCTAGGTTAAATGACTAGCCATTTAGAAAAAAAAAGTTTTCAATCGCTATCTCATTCTTTACACTAAAATAAATCCAAATGGACTAAGATTTATGGGTAAAGTTAAGTAGGAACTAAGCAAAATTAATCTAGACTACTGATCACTCTTGGGAGGCAGGAGTTAGGGGTAGTGACTTAGGAGGAAGCTTGAGGGTAAAAAATAAAACCCTATATCAGTGACTCTCAAAGGGGGGTCCCCAAGACCTTTTCAAGGAATCAGTGAAATCAACACTATTTTTGTAATAACATAGAGATATTCTATGCTTTTTTCACTGTGTTGACATTTGTGCTGGAGTGTAAAAGTAATAGTGAGTGAAACTACTGGCACCATAACCCAAATCAAAGGCAGTGGTACCAAACTATACTGTGCCACACACTCAGTCAAAACAAAACAAAACAAAAATGCTAGTTTCACATAAGAATATCCTTGAAGCAGTAAAACATTACTTTATTAATTTTTTTTTGCACTTGAGAACATGTGAGACAAAATGGGAAATATGCACAAAGTACTTTTGCTGCAAACCGAAGTACAACGGTTGCTCCAAGGAAACCCTGCAAGCTAAACCAACTTCTTTTGTCATGCAACACCATTTGCTCCAAATAACAACTGACAGACAAATTATGGTTATTCAGACTTGAGTATTTGGCAGACATTTTCTTAAAAATGAACAAAGTGAGCCTGTCACTACAATAAAAACAACCAACAGTATTTGTTGCTCCTGATAAAATTAGAGTTTTCAGGAAAAAATAAAAAATGTGGACAGCTTTCCAATACTTAAAGGGTTTTCTGATTAAAAGAGAGGTGATATATTCAAATGTAATTTTTAAATATCATATTAAATATCATATAAAATGTGTCAATATTTGGAAGTTCTATATAACTCAGTGAACCAGTATTTTCCAAACAATCAATATATACAAGATGGTGCAAAATCTTATATGGGTAGAAGATCTCCTCAAAGTACATGACAACCAAGATTTTAACATAACAGAATGCAAAAAGCTTATTGATATGGTTTCAGATTGCACACTGCAACTAACTTATACGACACTATACCACTTGTCAAGTTAAATGCAGTATCAAAGAATACCCACAATTATCTGAAAAAGACATGAAAATATGCCTTCCTTTTCCAGCTATACATCTGTGGGAGAATTGGTTTTCTTCACATACTTCAACCAAAGCAACATATCAAAACAGAGTGAATGCAGAAGCACTTATAAGAATTCAGCAATTTTCTATTACACTAGACATGGAAAAAATATGAAAAAAATGTAAAACAATTCCATTTGCCTCAGTAACTTTTTTTGCTTTGTTAGCAAAAAATAGTTATTCTTCAAAAAATATATAACTTATGTTTATATATAATGGGTCTACTATTGTTACTTGTAAATGAATTAATAAGTATTATTAAAATTTCTCATTTCAATTTCCAATACAGTAATCAATAGACATAATCTACATAAACAAAAGCTTTCTATGGTTTTCAACAATTTTTCAGAGTGTAAAGGGGTCCTGAAGCCGGCCCGGTGGCGCACTGCTGTAGTGCGCCGCTTGGGAAGCGCGGTGGCGCTCCCGCCGAGGGTTCGGATCCCACATACGGACCGGTTCCCGCTCACTGGCTGAGCAAGGCGCGGGAGCAACACAGAGGGGTGCGGGCCCGGTGCTGGGCCCGCTCC